GTCATCCGGAGAAGTTCGCATTTTCACCCGTCTTTTGGGCTTAATTGAAGTCTGATTTCGTGCAGTTTCGTGAATTTCGTGTATTTGATGTGTGTATGTGACGAAAAAGGTCGTGACGATGTTTTTCCTGAGGCTTGAAGTCCTATTTGGATCATCTTCCTTGAATCTTTGCAAAATAGCCCATAACCGCTCGTTCATAAAACGATGGTCTTGTGTCAAAGATGCTAGACATCAAAGGAAAATAGGAATCGGCTGGAGCTTCTAGAAGGGTGAGTCTCAATTCTAGTTTTCTAAGATGGTCCATAGGGATTTCTAGAGCTAGAACCTAGACTCTAAGGAGGAGAAGAAAAGACCTCACAAAAATGAGGTCAACAAGTGCTTAGGCATAATAAGTAGCAAGCTTAAACTTAATGAAGGTAGAGTTTATCAGACATTATCTTAAAAAATCAAGTGTGAATAATTTTAACTTGAGTAAACCACCATCTTTAAAAAGTAAGCATAAATAAATCTTGAATTAGTAGATGCTAAATTTAGAAAGTAAAATCCAAATTTTATCTAGGTAACATGACTTAACAGTTCTGACGGTTAATTAAAGCTATGCAATACCTCAATCAATCAATGTTTAATAAAGTTTACCTTCTTATTTTGTTGCTCCACACCCATCCTGCAATACCCATCTATCCTTTGAAAGCTCCCACTTAGAAAAAGCTTTACTTTGCACTACTATTCCACAATTATCAACAATAGATTTCACGATAGCACATATTTTTGTGGCACTTGATATCATATACTTGGTATCATTTTTACTTCCATAAACTGCCACAAAGTTGTTGATTCTAACATATTAGGATGTGACATTGCATTTTGTAAGATACATAATACATTTACTCTATTAACCTTCAAGGCAATCATTTGCATTTACTCTATTTACTCTACTAACAATCTAATTATAGTGCCATGCGCCTTGAACATCATACTGTCAAAAATCTACAAACTTACAAATAGCTCCATTTTAGATATAAACCTAGCCACTAGAACTTATATGTTAAAAACATATTTAATCAGAATATATGTGAATAGAATAAATTGAGTCTAGAATCAAATGCATTTTATAAAAAATAATTTTTTACCGTAAATTTGAACAATTCCTGAAGCAATTAATTTATCAATTTCATAGTCACCATTTACTTTGTGTTCATTTTTTCAGCAATGCAAAACAACTATCCTTTATGTGAGCTTTCTTCATCCAATCGAAGCAAAAATCACTTTTAATTTATTATGAAATTTACTACTGCCATTAGTTGAAAAGAAGACCTGCTCATTTGATCTATTTAACCAACTAAAATATGCTTCTAGCTATTTTGTCACCTTCCTCAAACTTAGAAATCATCTTTTAAAAGAAGTGAATTGTTGACATTCTTCAAGTTAATTATAGCATAATCATATAACATGTTATCTCGAAAGTGCTTGTAAGAGAGGTGCACAACAACAATAAGAAAGCTTGATCGTCATCATTAACGATCACATTAATGTTTCTTGAATTTTGAATGATGGAATTAAAATCATTTAAAAGTGATTTAAAAGACATAATACCTTGCGTGCAAAGTAGACTGATTCTAATAAATATTATTGAAATGGCTTTCGACCATACACAAATACTCCAACTTGAAATATAAATCTTTTATAGTTGTTTCTTCTAAGGTCTGTATCAAAGCATTAGCTATTAAACAACGTTTAACGTTGACCCTAGGGCCTCGAAGATGTTGGTGTTGCCCCAAGTATTCTCTTCTCATCCATGTTATAAGAGTCCAAATGGGAAATATTCCTTGTTATGAAAAAAAACTTCTCTCCCTAAGATAAAAAACAGTGACACTTAATCCTTACTATAAAGCCAAAGAACTCTCCTTGCAAGCAACCAAAAGTATTGTTGTATTTCTTTCTCAAAAACACCACTCTCCTCTGTTTTCCTCTCCTCTCTGCTCTATATTGCTTTTTATTATAAAATGCATCAACAAAATGCAATCACCTCTTTACATAATTCTTAGACCAATTAGATTACAACCCTAAATATAATGAAACAAAAGTATGGTAGCTGCAATGTTAGAAAATCAAGTGTAAATGAAGTAATATTGTGTTAGGTTAGTTACTATCTTTGAAAAACAAGTTCAAATGAATCAAGAGTTAGTAGCTACCAATATTAAGAAAATAAAAACCAAGTCTTATTCAATAAAATTTTGACTCAACACTTCATAGTCCCCTGGAGGGATTGATCCAACCACTTGCATTTACCCACGAACTTTAGGGTGCTCAATTTGCTCCTTTGTCAAGGAACCATCCTGACTACCTCCAATCATTCGCCATCATCCTCGTCAACAATTATGATCTACTTCACTACAACACGGGACTCCCTCCAAAGGCTAGGTCTTTTACATTAAGCTGATAACTTCTCCAATTTTGGGGTGGCAGCCAATTTTGATGCTGCCCCAAGTATTCTCTTCTCATCTATGTTATAAGAGTCCAAATGGGAAATATTCCTTGTTATAAAAAAAAACTTCTCCCCCAAAGAAAAAACGACACTTAATCCTTACTATAAAGCCAAAGAACTCTCCTTGCAAGCAACCAAAAGAATTGTTGTATTTCTTTCTCAAAAACACCACTCTCCTCTCTTTTCCTCTCCGCTCTGCTCTATATTGCTTTTAATTATAAAATGCATCAACAAAATGCAATCACCTCTTTACATAATTCTTAGACCAATTAGATTACAACCCTAAATATAATGAAACAAAAATATGGTAGCTGCAATGTTGGAAAATCAAGTGTAAATGAAGTAATATTTTGTTAGGTTAGTTACTATCTTTGAAAATCAAGTTGAAATGAATCATGAGTTAGCAGCCACCAATATTAAAAAAATAAAAATCAAGCCTTATCCAATAAAATTTTGAATCAACACTCCATAGTCCCCTGGAGGGATTGATCCAACCACTTGTACTCACCCACAAACATCAGGGTGCTCAATTTGCTCCTTTGTCAAGGAACTGTCCTAACTACCTCCAATCATTCGCCACCATCCTCGTCAACAATTATGCTACTTCACTACAACACGGGACTCCCTCCACAGGCTAGGTCTTTTACATTAAGCTGACAACTTCTCCAATTTTGGGGAGGCAGCCAATTGTATTTCCCTACTTAAACTAGTGAAAATTTTCTATCAAGGTTAAACCCAATAAAATCTCACTTTGGATCGTTTTTTTTTAAATCTAATATGATTAAACATGCATGCACATTCTCTCCATTGACATGAACTCTAAATCACAACAAACTTTATCTGATCTTTGAGGCCAATAACAGCAAATGCCAAATCATGAATAGAACAAAAGGAATGAAATAAATTCCTTGATTTCAGAAATGCTCTCTGTTAAAAACTAAGATTATCATTAATTTGCTACAGATACGAACCTCATCCAAAATGTTGCTGTCCTCTTCCTCGGGAACAGACCGATCAGCTTCCTCCTCCTCTTCTCCCTCTTCTACACTAAGGTCCGGATCCCGAACTTTAAGGCGGTTGAATCCTTTCATATGCCGCCCATGATCTGAATCCTTCTCCTTGATCTTCCTTAGTTTCCTCTGAATAATGGATGAAACCAGATCAATGCTCCCATACACCGTCTCCGAATCCTCCTCTGCACGCACAACCCCATGCTTCTTGGTAAATATAGAAACCTGGTCGAATTAGACACAACGCAGCACCACATTGCACATATGTAATCAGTCCAATTGTAACAGGCGTAAGTTCGATAAAATTGATAAAAGAGTTAACCTCGCATCGGCGAACCCTGGGACCTCTCCCAAACTCACCCCCGCGGACGGAAAGCCGAACATCAACTTCTCTGACAAGGTACGAGTGCTTCCGCACGGCCCTTCCTACCTTGTCCTCGATGTACTTCTTCACCGAGTCCGTCAACTGACCAAACAAATAAAAACCTAATGAGAAGTACAACTGCAGCAGACCAACGCAGGTTGAATTGAATACCTCGAAATTCTTCCCTTGGACAATAAGTCGAACGGAGGAAAGAGGGCCGTCCCACGACATGCGGACGGCGAGACTCCGCGGCCCGGCTGAGGTCACGGCTGGTCGGATTGGTGTAACCGAGAGGAAAGAAACGGGTGGGTTGCCAAGGAAGTCGGAATGGAGAGATGGAACTGTAATGGAATTGAAAGCAAGGGTTTTGGTGTGGGAAATACTATGGGGGAAGAAAGAGGAACACGAGCAGCAAATATGCCGTGGAATGACAGTGGTTGACCCGGTCGCCCATGTAACAGTCGCCATTCCTCGAGCTCAGTTCAAAGGCGATGAGGTCGGTTAGAAAGGGTTGTTATTCGTCGTGATGCAGAATTTGTTCTTTAGGAGGGAAGAGGTGGAGGGAAGGAGGAGAAGCCAACGGCGGAAGGGGGAAGGGTTGGGAACAACTCTTTGAGTATGCTTGAACGGGGTAAGGGCCCTAGTGGAGCCTGATCCATTATCGGATGGGGTTGGTGCGATTAGCATACAAAGCACTTGAAACTTCTTTATTTACATATCCAAAAGTCGAACGCCCAAACTTCCTTCTTTACTTATCCATCACACAAAATTTGTTTATTCCATCACAGATAACGCTCTTTTATCTTCTTCCAGTTTCCGTCTGCAATCAGAAACTGAAACTGTACTGTTGCCAAGCTCTACATGGCTTCTTGGATAGGAGTTGTGCTTTTATCATTCAAACCAGTGAAAGAGGGCTCTTTCACTATGGCCTTAGCTCATTGAGTGATAAGAGCAGTAAGCGAGTTTGTTGTGGACTTCTTGTGTTTGACATTCAAAACCCTCTTGAGTCTTATTAACTTGATTGATAGAAGCTTACAAATTTGGAAGCTTATCTCGAAAGGCCCTTAATATCTTGATGAGTTTTGAAGATGACCTTTGACATTTGAAGTCGCCTTGAATTTATTTTGGTTGAATCATGTCTTGGCTTAGCCAAGTGAGCATAGTCTTGGCACTAATGATTCAATGCATATTCCGGGATCTCGGCATAATCATGATGTCAACCCATGTGATTAGGGATCTCAACATTAAACAAGATGTAACCCAAATGAATAATGTTAAAGATTTTGAAAAAGAAGTTTCTAATTAAATTGCAAGAAATCAATTTAAACTCCAAGTATTTATTGGTGTTATAAATTATCTGATATTTCAAAGTTGTGTTTTTAGATTTCACGACGAAAGTCAAGAATCAAGTAATGAAGCTAATTTGGTTGGACTTTTGAAGTTATATGCATCTCATTGTGAGAATGTAAAGGTATTACTAAAATACTCTATGATGTGTTACATCTCCTAAAATAATGGAAAAAGTGGGAAAAGAAGACGAGGAATGAAAAGGTCTTATAATTAAAGCCACGTGTAAGGCTTCTCAATCATATTTAAACTTTAATTTCTTTTAATTCATTTTTAATTATGGTGCATCCAATCAAGCCATGCATATATGTTTCATGTATATATCATTACAAAATGCATGTGCTTTAAAAAAAAATAGGGAATCCCGAGAGAAATTTTATTCATCGAAAATAAAGATTATAAAGTATAGTAGAAGAAACTTACTACACCAAAAATAAAACTTAGAGGTCCTCCAGAAACCACACTATATACCCAAGATATGAGATACATGTGCTTAATCATGCATGAAAGGTAACAAGTTCCCATCGTGCATTCTACCCCTATCTGCGAATTACCTAATTATTGAATTTTGTAGATTTAAATATATTCTAAGCCCGCATAAAAAAGGTTGAAATAAAAAAGAAGGAGAAGGTTAACTCTCTGACTAATTTTCATTTTAGGTTGGTCAATTGATCAAAAAGCGCATATAGCCAAAAGTTTAATGTCCGGGTTCAAGTTCGAAGTCTAGATAAATTTATATAGTTCGCAAAGCCAACTATATCGATTCAATCATTTTGCTCAATCGAATAGTTATACCAAATTGCTTGTTAATGGTGATCAATGCACAGATATCCCGATCAGCCTGAAGAAACCCTTCCAAAGCCCTTCCACTCATCTTGGAAGTCTAACTTGCTCTATAGACAACTTGGTAAAATTATCCATGAGATCAACCCACGGAAGAAGATCAATTCCATTTGTGAGATCAACTCGCTCTATGGTCGAGTTGATCAACAAAGATGTTACTGGTAAGTTAAGCCCGAAAAAAGATGCTATAGAGGAACAATTATGCTAGCAATAAGTTATAAATCAAGTACTCATCGTACACTAATCCAATGGGATCGCCCGTTCGAACGTAAATCAGACTTGATTTATATCAAGAGCTGTGTATTGGTTTTATAAAATATTATAAAAATTATTCTTATCAAAATAATTCAAGTTTTGCAATTTATATAATTTTTGGATTTGAATTTTACTTAGGGAAGACCATGAGAGGGACATTTCTGCCTTTTTTTTTAATGTTAGATTTTATTTTTTTTATATAAGTGCATAAAAAACGATAAATTTACATATGTACCACACAATTCTCATGCATTTAAATATCTCACATCAAAACTTTCATGTTTACACACATAGCATTTTTAGTACTTCAAACCTATGCATGCATGAAAGGTGTACTTCAATTTGAGTGCTTTGTGTGTAGATATGGAAGTTTTGGTGTGAGATATATTTGTAAATACAAAAGAATTGTGTGCTATGTATGTAAATGCCCCTTTTTGAAGAAATTTACATATTTAAGACATAATTCTTATGTTTTTGCAAACATATCTCATATCTAAACTTTTATATTAGGATTTGTGTGCCATGCCATGAGTGCAAATATGAAAGTTTGGCGGTGAGATATGTAAAAACATGAGAATTAAGTCTAAAAATATACCGTGAGAGAGGTTCCTTAGGAACGAAGGATATCATGCTATTATGCTAACAATAATATGGTTGCTTTTTAAAAGTTAACTGTGAAGCAGCAACATCTCTTTTAAGAGGCGGCAAATATTATCCTTGGGAGTATAATTTTAGAGAAAATTTAATAAAAAAAACCTTCATCTTTGGCAAAATTACAGACTAATATAATTTTATAAGTAAAGGTGTGCATTATTTGATCATACACATCTTCATCTTTTAGGAAATGCTTCAAATAATTGCTCATTGTTTTTTTCTAGCAAATATATGAATCTATTTATTAGAAGTTCCTATTTTTCTTCATCATTTTCCCCACTTGCAATTTTTTTTTGGCATTCACACACCCACCACACAATTTTTATATATTTACATACCTAACCTCTAAACTTTCATATTTATATAAAAAAAAACTTCATATTTATATGTATACAATTCATCTTTAATATCATATAAAAATAGTATTAACATGATTAACTTTCTTATAGTCAAACATGCATCTTGATACATAAATTTATGAGAGGCATCATTGTACCAGTGTTATTATTACAAATATCAAAATTCAAATGTTAAGGGTCTGTTTGGGGATGTTAAGGGTCTGTTTGGGGTAGTTGTAGCTTATTGAATAATCTGTTGATAAGTTAATTAAAAATAATCTATCAATAAGCTTGGTACGGTGGCTATTACAAATTTTTATTTTTTTGGAAAGGTAATACCGCAGCTAGAAAGTTGTCACCGCACCTAGATGGGTGCATTGTGAAAACACTGTTTTCGGAGTCTTAAAAACGCATAAGCTGCCAAAATGCAGTTTACCCAAACTGGTCAGGTGCATTTTTAAAATGTCACCGCACTAAATAAGCTGCCCCCAAACGGACCCTAAATGTAAATGCATACGAATTGTGTGGTATTTATGTAAATTTTCTTTTGTTTCTTCGTTTTACGCATCAACAAACCACGCCCAATTCCTCCACCTTATGAACACCCCCCGTCGCCACTCCAATACTCTCAAACTCTAATGGCCAAACCCACCATCTTCTCCCGCTACATTCCCGGCTCCGCGGCCCGCCTCCTCTGCTCCGCTCTCGCGGTCCTCCTAATCCTCTCAGGCATCATCGCCCTCATCCTCTACCTCATCTACCACCCTTCCCACCCCCACTTCACCGTTCTCTCTGCCGCCATCTTTCGCCTAACCAGCTCCTCCTCCCCCACTCCTGCCACCGCAATCTCCACCTCCTTTCAGTTCACGATCTCGATCCGCAACCCCAACCACCGCTCCACCATCCAATACGACGGCCTCTGCATCTACGTCTCCTACCGCGACCAACCCATAACTCCGCCGTCATCGCTGCCGTCGATTTACCAGGAGTCCGACGGAACGGTGACTGTTTCTCCGGTGATTGGAGGGGAAGCAGTCCCTGTTTCGGCGGAGGTAGAGTCTGCGTTGATGACAGAGGAGGCTTATGGTGTGGTGCCGCTGCGGTTGGTGATTTCGGGTCGGGTGAAGTATCGGCCCGGCCCGTTTAGGAGTGGGTGGGTGAATGTGTTTGTTAAGTGTGATGTGCTCGTTGGGTACAGGAAGGGGGTTTCTGGACAGGTGCCGTTGCTCGGACAGAATGAGTGCGATGTGGATACCTAGAGGAGCGGTGGCCGGTGGCCGGAAACTTCTATTTATGTCTCTGCTTGTAGTGGTTATTGATGGTTAGGGTTGGTTTTGCTGGTATGTTTTGAGAGTGTAAATGATATAGGTTTAAGTATGTTTAGAGCTCATTTGGTTGTTAAACTGGAACTTAACAACAATCATGGTGTTTTAGTGATTTAGTTAGAGTTCGAGGTAGATTTCTAAATTTTAGAATTGTATGTGCAACTCTTCAAATTTATCGCAAAATTTTGAATTCTAGGGTGATTCTAAGCTATGGGTAAAGAAATGAATATGACCCAATATGGGTAAAATAATAGGGAAGAGCCCCAACTGAAGTTGAATTTATCCAAAAGCCCATGAGATGAATGGAACTCACTACCATAATTACTCTTGTTCTTGTACCATTGCTATAAATATTAAATTAAAATTTTGTTGTTAACATTAATGAAGAGGAAATAATAATTTTGTTGTTAACATTAATGAAGAGGAAATAATAATGTATGTCATATATATTCAAATTCATGTTGGACAAATTTTGGGTGGCTATGACTACAAAATGTTGCATTGAGGGTGCCACATAGCATGAAGTCAACCCTAAAGAATGGATTAAAGCAACAAGAGATTTAATTAAGATCACAGGTATAGCTTTGGATGTCATTTTGAGGAAATAAAATTGCACCTCCCGGTCTTGTAGAAATTTAAATTTATTTAGAATCAAGGAAATCAGATACATAAAAAAATGGAGGACATTGTACAATTCATGTTAAGTAGTAGCAATGCTATGCTCTAAGTGATACTTAGAATAATGTTGTTATTGCTAATTATGATGATGGCCACGAAAATGATGATAATGATGACTCGTATTTTGTAAATTCTCTTAACTTTTTCTATTTACTTTTGTTGATAAAAATATTTATTAGTACTATTGAGAAATCATTTTTAGCGCTTCAAATATAATTAGCTTTTTATAAATGCTTGCTGATATATTATTTTGATAATTTTTATTGCATGTTGAGTTAATTTATTTTGAATTCTTGTTTGGGAAATTGATTGCATGGGTTGTAGTGTTAAATTATTTTGAATGAGTAAAACCTTTGCTTAAGTAGGGTTATAAACAAGTTGAGCTGAGCTCAAGTCATAGCAAAGTTGAGCTCAACTTGCCTACTTAATGGCTCAAACTCAAGCTCAACCTCATATGCCAAGCTTGAGCTCAACTCACTGGGGAAAAATGGGTTTTAGCTTGAGCTTGAGCTAGTTTGTTTGCTAAAAAAATATAGTGATGAGAGACATGGAGGACAATATTGCAAGAGCTTGCCCACAGGCACTATTTATAACAATATATAGCTAGATAAAGCATCATGATTGCAAAATAGGAGTACAAAAAAGATTGTATACGATAAAAAGATGAGTTCACAACAGTAGGAGTTGTTGTGGAGGATTTAAACCATGTCAACTGTGGTTGTCGAGATTGTGTTTAATCATGGTACAGACTGAATTGAGCCAACTCACGAACTTGCAAGTCTAGTGGATCTCAAACTTGAGTTCATATATTTTACATGCTATATTCTTGACCCAAGCCGACGCTTTTAACTCAATAAAGTTAACTAATGAACTTATTAATGAGTTGAGTTTGAGTTGACTCATAGCTCTTACACCGTTGTAGATATGTAATTAGGTCAAATGGTCTTATTCAATTGTTCACTTCACATGTTGTATGAAATGAAAAGGCAATCAAATTGTGGCTCTGTGTTTGTCCTTGCAATGAGTTTTACGATTGATTATGGCTGCAAATAACCAACCGACGATCCAATTTTGTGGTCATAATTTTGCAACAATAAAGCCATTGTAATTTACATACATTCTTTTAGTCCAAAAGAATAAGGGAAATGATAAGGCTAGAGTTAAATGGTGAACAAATGGTCTTGAATAATATAGTTAGAGCTGACCATCAACTAGAATTCAACTTGATTAATATTCGAATATGTTTGTTCAAATTAATAAATAAATAAATTTGAATATTTTCTTAAAACTCCATGATTAAATAAATCAAATTTGAACGTAGGCCAACTTGTTTTATTAAAGTCCACAAACAAATTCATTTGTTGCTTAATAAATTAACTTATCAAATGCTCTATAATTATATAATAAATCATGTAAATAAAAATTGATTAATTATATTTAATAGTGATATATTATATATAATAAATATACATATAAATTTAATGCAATTTATTCATATTTTAAAATTTTTAATGTACTAGTTTATTTGCATTTATTTAAGTTATTTGAGTGCAAGAAATAATATTTAAAGCTCATATATTGTTGTATTATTTGGTATAAATAATTTAGATGATAAATATAAATACATTCAATTACTTTGGTGTTGTTTGGGATCACTTATTTATATATATATATACATACATACATACATATATACATACATACATACATATATATATATATGATTTAAAATAAAATATGTTTGACATGTCTGATAAAGATATAATCATTTTTAAACTCAAAACACATAAAAATTAATTTGAGTATTTAAAAAAAATTAATTTCTTTTTAGAAATAAAATAAAATATTTAAAGAAGATACTATATATATATATATATATATCTTATTATTTCTAAATAAAAAATAAAATAATTTATATGGATATTTTACATTGCATAAATATTTTGAAGTGTCATTTGGATTTAAAAATATCACTATTAGTTTAATCAAATCATTTTATTACTTATTGATACATTTAAGTTGATATCAAAACTATGTGATAAATTAAACTTACATATTTTTAGAATATAAGTCATAATATTTTCTTAGAATACATGCCTTAAATATGTATTTTTTAATAACTTGTATAGGTATTATATATGCAAATGTGACATACATCTAAACAATAATAAAAATAGCCCATAAAAAGACTATATAGTATACATTAGCATATTCTACATTTCTGGGAAATTTACATACCTACCGTACAATTTATAGATTTACATATCTAATGCTTAAAGTTTAATGTGAAAAAGATATATTTTATTTTTTTAGTTAATAATAATAATATTTTTGTTGTGACATTTAATATGAAACGAGATGCATATAAATATAAAAGTTTAAATTGAGAGGTAAATGTATGAGAGTTAAGGGGTATAACTGCAAATGTCCTGCATTTTATTACTTTACAGATTGGCCAGACCCCGCGAACGACATGGCCACGTTACCTGCATCCACGCCTAGATGACTGCTATATACCATAATTTTTCAACTATCTTAAATCATTACTTTTTTATTTTATTAATAAAATAGGTAATATACGTTCGTGATAAACTAATGATATAATACTGTTAAATATTAAAAAATGAACAATCTAATAACGTTAAGAATCTTGTTGGCTAGGATCTGAAGGTCGTAAGCTCTGTAGGATGAGATTATGTGGGAGCAGCACTCCTACGCCATGATGTGGCGCCTTTATGTTTCTCGGAGTCACACGAAATTGGTCGCACAGGAATGATATGTATGTCGATTGATTCGCTGGTCTACAAGTCGAATATCCAGTTCGATTGATTCTGGGTGGATTGGAGACAGAGGTTTTTTATATGATTCAGATTGGATTGGCCACCGGTTCGCTGTCAAACCGATTGGCCCAGTCTGCTCTGATATTTTAAATCTGATTCTATGTGTGTCAATATGAAAGTTTAGTTTTGAGACATGTAAATACATTAGAATTCTGTGTGTAATGTTTGTGAATACCCCAAAATTTTATTATAATTCAGTAAAAATATCTTACATAAAAAATTAATACCAACAATAGCATAGTACCCATGATATTTTCTTTTTTTTATAAATCAGTCCCCAAATTAACTGGTACGGCACGCCACTGTATCGAATGCATATTATAAATTATATACACCAGAAAGACCTTCGCATCACACATAACCATCATCAAACATTAGCAGAACACTCCGTCCCCTCCGCCTCCCCCAACACCCCCGCCATCAGGCCGCCGCCGGCAGCAGCAACACCATAACGAATCACAGCCACACAATCAACATCAAACCTATATCTCCTAGAGACCCAACTCCCCACCTTCCACCTCATCTCACCATCCAACCGAACACTCAGAACCATCTTCCCATTCATTCGATCCCTCACAACCTCATCCCCCAACCCCGTCGCCATCGGCATGCCGGCACCCACAAGCGAAGCCGAGAGAAGGTTGGTGTCGCCGTTGCCTTGGTAGAAAGGAGGCAGCTCGGCTTCAGCAGTGATCTGTTGTCCCTTGTAGACGGCGTACGCGCGGAGGCGGTCGTAGTAGACACCGGAGTGGGTGTTGGGGTTGTTGGAGACGATGGTGGCTTGGATGGTGGAGTTGAGGAGACGAGGGGAAGGCGGGGAGGTGAGTGTGAGGTCGTAGAGGGCGGTGTCGTGGAGGTGGAAGCGGGGCTTGGAAGGGTGGAGGATTAGGAAGAAGAGGAGAGAGAGGAAGGTGAGGGAGAGGAGGAGGGAGGAGAGGGTGAAAAGAAGCTTTTTGTTGAGGGTTTTGAGGTGGTGGAGAGGGATGGTTTGTTTGGCGGCGCAGTGTTTGGGAGAGGTGGTGGAGTAGATAGACATTTGGGAAAGGTAAAGAAGGTTTGGGAAGGTGGGTGGGGGGAGGTTTTTGGTTTGTGGGGGTTAAGTAGGAGATTGTGGGGGGTGGGTTGTGGGGTTACTTGGGTAGAGTGGACTGCAATTTTAAAAGGATGAGTTTTCATTTTATATAAATTAAAAATGAACCTATGAGGTAAATTAAATAGTCTAGAATTATAAATCACTTCTGTAATCAAAAGTATCAATCATTTAGGAATTAGAAATTGAATTCATAAGGGTGGTTCTAATAGCCACATATCACCAAATAAAAATTTTAGAGCATTTAAGAGCAAGGTTTGATAAGTATTTTGAATCCGGATGTTAAATCTTCATTGTCTATAAATTCACATCTTCATGGAGAGACCTAAACATGATGATGAGCCTACGGAACATAGAGAAAATGAGAAAGAAAGAATACAGTAAGATTGCTACACTTATTTATAAATGGTTTGACTTGAGATAGGTTACATAGAGTAAATAATCAAACTCAAAAGAAATATGGCATTTTCTAGAGATATATATATTTTTCTCTGGTTATGATAGGCTAGCTTGCACTGTCATTCAAGGTGTCAAAGATAACTCATCATCGAGTTTCCTACATACACATTGCTGATTTAGCCCAGTTGCCATGATAAAAAAAAAAAAAAAAAATTACATCTAGAGTCCAGACACACGGTTGCGATCCACTGGAGTTCGTTTTTTTTTCTCCTTCGTTGTCAGGACGCAACTTGCGTCCAGACTCTGAACGTAATATTTTTTTCTTGCTCAGAGACATGCTGACATGATTCAAACATAAAATCACTTATTTAAATAAATAGTGATTAGCCGCAAATTTAGGAGTATTTTAGGATCATTTTTGTTTTTTTTTTTTTTGCTGCTAGATTTTACTTATGCTTTAAATGCTTTAATTTGAAACTAATGATGTCTATTAAGTTGAAAAAAAAATATTTTGTTTTTAAAAGCACTCAAGTCAAATTTTAACTGTTTTGAGTATATAAAACAAAATAAAAGCACACAAATTAAATATCTTTAAAAAATAATAATATTTATTTTATCCAAAAGAGAAATATAAAACTCACCATTTCATGTTTGATATGTTATGTCGCTCTCTCATTAGAAAAAAAGCCATATAATGGCTTTCTGTAAAGATTAAGAGTAGAAAATCTTAATTTTTTTTTTTATTTATTCCAAGTCATAATTTATATTATTCGGCCAAATTCTAAGCTTAGTGATGATTTTGAAGCTTTACTGGCCTCAAGGACTATTCCAATATATACCGCCCATTTGTGAAGATTCAGGAATATCTAAAATACTAGACTATTTGGCATGATTAATATAGATCAAGTTGATAGTGCTAAGGCAATTATAGTATACTTAAAGAGACTTTAGAAAAGCAACTAACAAACAATCATATTGTGCTTATTTCCATCAATGAATGATGGACACAAATCATTTTTTTAAGAGAGCACCACAGTACAAATTAATTAATTGGTTAGAAGAAGAGAAAATTTATAATTTTAATGATCATCTATTTTCTGATTTCAATAAAATAATAATCAGACACGACTTATGCACATGAACATAAAGTAATCTTGGCAAAATGATCATTGAAAAAAAATATAATTGAAGCGTCTCAACATCTAGAAAAAATATTATGTTCGTCTTCTAGATGTCCGGACGATGGCGTGGATCACATCATGTCGTGTGCACAATGACGTGGTGTGATTTATGCTGCCATCTGAACATATGATATCAAGATGTAATATTTTCTACAATATCATAAATTATGAATCAAATGAGTTTAAAAATAGGCTTGAAACATTAAAGTAATTTGCAATGTATTATTCATGACTGAATTACTTAATAAATTCTAATATCTGATTAGTTAAAAGTCATGTGATTAAGAACTCTAATTGGCCAGAATGTAACGTGTCTTGGGATCTAGCATATTATTTATGTTTGTTTTCTTAACTAAGAGTCCAAGAGAAAAAGGGTGTTGTAATTTGATAATAAACTTGATCATATTGGTAATCTTAATAGTGCTTATGATAATGCACAATACAAAGTCTAAACATTTGTTTGTGAGCTTCCTTCTAAGATGAGGACTGACTTTTTAAGGACAAAATAGGTCTAAAAAATCTTAAAATTGACATTTTTTTTTTTAACTTGTATAATTTTTATTTGAATATAACATGAATACGAATCATGTGGTGTCAAAAAATGCTCTAAGAACAGACTTCTCTCCATATTTAAAAGTGGGCATTTACACATATCACTCGATACCTAAGTATTTGCATATCAAAACTTAAATTTTATTTTTTTTTGGTTACTAAAACCCAAATCTTTCATATCATATAAAAAATATCACAATTATAACTTGTAAAAGGTAAAGTACACCATCATGCATATGTAAGGTGACATAAATATAAAGATTGAAGTTTATCCATTATATATATAAATACATACATTGAATCAAGGGATAATCGGAAGGATAGAGATGGATAATCAGTCTTTTTTTGAAGCCTGAAAAATGCCTTCGATTCTTCAGAAGAAGGGAGAGATTGAGTGAGCGATGGAACACAGAGTCAGCCCCCAAAAAAAATAATCATTTTCCTATTTTCTTCCTTTTATTTTAATACAATGTTTTTTTCTTCTTTCGGCAAGCCTCTTATGATAATATTTTGGGATGACTTTACTGAGGACATGATCTTCCCCAGGTGCACAATCCAACGTCGGCGGTGTGGTGGCTGTTCTCCTTTATCTCAGGCGATGAGTTGTTTTGAAAATAAAAAAAATACTATTATGATTGATTGAATGTTATTTCTGACAGGTTCGAACCTCTTTTCCGATGATCGGGATGGTCTAACTACTTCAACAGATGGACCTATTAAGGCACTTCGGTGAGTGGACCCGATTCAACCTATTCGGATGATTGGAGCGGTCCAATTGCTTCGATAGATGAGCTCGTCCAATGGTCCGTTAGAAGGAATTGAGGGGTATGTATGCAAATCTTCCTATTTTCAAATATGCTTTTGTTTCATAAAAAGTTAGCTATTTTTCTTTCTATTGCATTAATAAGAAAATTGTTGTTATTATCTTTTCAATTATTGAAATAATAAAGTTGCCACGATCCTTAAAGTGTTCTTTTGAAGTTTCATAAGAAAAAAAAAATGTGTTGTGACAGCTGATTAGAATTAATAGACGACAGCTTTCGCTGAAGGACCACAGTACAAACAAGTGGACTTCTTTTCAGGTTGATGGTTATCTTGTGTCCCTCAATTTTTACAAGTGACATAAGAGTCTCTGTTTACTTAAAAATTGACCTTTAGTCAGGAGTGTAAATGAGTTGGTTTGCTTTTCTGTCTTAATAGTAAGCTCGAGTTCTGCTCGTAGTAGTCGGCTCACGAGCCTAAAAAAAATCAATTTTTACACAAGTTCATGAGAAAAGATATTTGTGATCGGAGGAGAAGGAGGATGGTGAAACAGTTCACCATAAAATTCATCAAAATGACTAACGGTATGCTAATCGAGCCAGCTCACAAGCCAACAAGCCGGGTCAGGACAAGCTTGAGCTCATTTAATAAACAAGCTCAAGTTTGAGCTCCAGGTCAAACTCGTGGCCCGATAAGCTCGGCTAGTGAGCTCATTAACGAACCAAGCTCGAGCCGGCTCGGATCATGGACACCCCTAACTCTAATAACACTTCAATTTAAAAAGACCAAGGACTACTTTGATATTTATATAAACTCTGGGATTAAAATAGTCTCCAAATATAAATAATCAGCACTATTTTAACACTTTACTCTTAATATTTCTCTTTTTTTAAAGTAAAAAAAAAGGGGCTACAATTTTATGTTGATCAAGTCAAAATCAGCTTTTCTAGTGTTAGAGACCGAGTTGACTAGGGACAAGGTAAGTGCTGTGCTGGGACTCTTAAGGGGTAAAACCGTAAAATTCCAGCTTCAAGCAGACGTTTTGTAAAATACATCTAGATTGCTTAATGCTTAAGTCTTTTTTTCCCTTAGTTTTAATAAATTTTTTAGTAATGGAGTAAGGGCAATAACATATGATGCATGAACATTTTGTAATAAAGGTGTCATTAACCATATTTTAGCTAAATAGCACATTCCAATGCGCCTAAATAAAGCAACTGAAGTGTTATTAAAAATTTAAGTGATTGATAGGTCAAATAATGTATAAATTATGCATGCTTATAATTGAATCGAGCGTCTTAATACAAACAATTTCATGAGCTTAATGGATGGCGCTGAAGTGCGCGACCCACACCGGACCATCGGGGCGATGGCCAGGCCCGGATGAGTAGGACGGAT